ATGAATTCAATTAATTAGATATGTTTTTGATTAAACCATTAAAATGGAATACAGAAAAAAAAAAAAAAAAAAAAAAAAAGCGTATTTAATCAATGTAATTTATTCTATAGGCTTAGTATTGTAAAATTAATAACTTCTTTATTTTCAAACATAAAGCAAGCTTTTATTTAGGTGGTTTGCCAGCAAAAACATAAAAAATAAATGTGCTGCAGGTTTCAGAATGAGCCGTGGCACTGTGTTCAATTACACACGTGCAGCTTGTAATACAGAGTTTCAGAGGCTCAATTCACAGTAAATGAACAAAGCTGCATGAAAACAAACACCCAATCATGAGCTGCCAGCATGTACATGAACACAGTGCCGTGTTTCACTCTGAAATGGCAGTGTATTCATTTAAATAAATCACAGCCTTCATGATTTGAAAATCATGTCTCATCGCAAAATTGATCATGCAGTCCTACTCCTTACTAGGTTCCAAGTACCTAGAAAATGGCTTGGACCCTTTCTTTTAATGTGTACGTGTTTTTTTTGTGTGTGTGTTTTTTTAGACATTCTGCAGAAGAACTAAACTCATGTCTGTAGGGCAGAGATGGGCAACTTCGGTCCTGGAGGGCCACTGTCCTGCAGAGTTGAACCTGAACCAGCTAATCAATGTCTTCAAGATCACTAGAAAGCTACAGGCAGGTGTGTTTGATTAGGGCTGGAGCTGAACTCTGCAGGACAGTGGCCCTCCAGTTGCCCATCCCCGTCGGGAGACCATGTGTCCTCTTTTTCTTTGACACATCCTGGTCAGGATTTCTAAAACGTTCAGGTTTTGGCTTTGCTTTCCTATTGTTTTCATACTTGCTGAAGGTAATAACCGGAAAATTGTTTGACAAATAGCATGCAAGCATTGTACATGATCAACCAACTGTGGCCCGGAAAAAAAGTGGGATCTACAGTTTATTTTGGGCTGAAATAACACATTTAATATCCTACTTACCTCAAAGGTACGAGTTTGAAAATGCGGACGTCTTTGGTGGCTATGGCCAGCACATGGAAGGATCTCCCCAGATTAGGAGCAAAGGTGATGTCGTGTACCGGGTCAGTCACAGTCATCAGCGTCTCTGCTTTGGCATACTTCCTGTAGGTCAGCATAAACCCTTTAGAAACATGCTTATAATCCATAACAGGCAAAATAGGAACTGATGCATGGAGTGAAGTCCATACCTTGTATTTTCATTATACTCATAGATCTGCACTTTGCCACTGTATGTGACGTTGCTGTCGTCACTGCCCACGGCTATCATTGGAGGATGAGCTCGAGAACTAAAGGGCAGAACAAACAGTTGTGACGATCAAGAGTGCATCTTTCATACTGATATGTGACTGTGTAGACGGCGCTCAGACCTGGAGGGGTTCCAGGAGATGCAGGAGCAGGAGAGCTTGCAGGAGATCTCGTGCTGCAGTGACCACTGGCTGAGGTTCATCACATCAGGGGCCTCGTAGATGCGCACCACGCCGTCTGCAGAGCAGGTGGTCAGCATCAGGCCCATGTGCTTCGGCGCAAACTTGACATCGGTCACGGACGTCCGGCTGTCCACCAGTGTGGTTCTCTTGATCTGTACAGGCACAACAGAAATTAACAGAACAAATGACACTGCATCTGCCGTGCACATACATTTGGTTTTTATTTCTTTCCGCAAAACACAGTGACATTCTAATGATTTTTCATTACACATCAAGACTGAAATCGTTTTAATACTCATTTTCCACAGTATCAATACACTGATACCAGCTGTGTTTGTTTACCCTGCGGTTTTCCCTTGTTTTTTTTTATTTGTTACCTCATTTTAGTTGACTACGGCCATGATTTAATATTCGTTCCCTTGTTTTGGTTAAATGGCAGCTATGAATTAAGAATCCGTTCCCTCCTTTTATTAATTCATTCCTTCATTTTAGTTCATGGCCACAAATTAAGAATTTGTTCCTTCATATTAATTCGCTCCCTCCACAGCTTACTAAAACAAGGCAATAAATTAGTGCAGCGTGGCCACAATTTACTAAGATGAGCAAATTCTTAATTTTTGGCCACGATTAAACTAAAATAAGTGAACAAAATAATTAATGGGAAACAAATTCTTAATTTGAGGCTACAAATTACAATATTTTTTTTCCCAACATGTTATGTGCAGGGCTTTATAAACTCAGCCCCGGCTTAGCGTGCGCTGAGGCCGGGCTAGAGTGAGCGGAGGCGGCGGATCCGACGAAAGAGCGGCAACCACATGTGCCGGACCCCGGGCTGGACTCCGCTTCGTCCACGGTGAAAGTTGAAGTATTCCCTCAGCGACCAGCACGGATCAGCTCCAGGCATGACGAAGCGGATATCGTCCTCTTTTGGAAGACCAAACAAAGTAGTTTCGCTTTCACAACGAAACACACAGTGCCTTCACGACATGGCTGCAGCGTCAACAATACTACAGCGAGAATAAAAGTTACGCCTTCTTTCTTTGCGTGAACATTGGGGCGGCGTTATGCAAATCTTCCCACATAGTGAGGTAGACATGTGGGGGCGTGTTAGAACGAGCCGTTTTAGGGGGGTGTGGCTGACTCTTAACTTTTATAAAGAATATCTCTTTGGATTTGAGACTTTAGTCTTTGCAACTTTACAGATCTTCTTTATGCACCAAGAGCTTGTAACACTCCAAAGAGAAAGGAAAAATTGAATTGCATCATATGACCCCTTTAATATACTTATGAAACATTCATTTTTTTATTTTACAGAGCAGTTGTATAACATAGTTCTGTCTTAATATAATAACAATAATAATAATATATTATGACTATTATTGTATATAATCCCACTCAGAGCTTTAAGGCAACAGTTTCAGTTGATAAGAAATTAGTCTGATTAGGGTCAAAAATAAATTAAATTAGATACTTTTCTAATTTTATGCCCTTTATGTCATAGCAATTGTTGCCTGTGGTATCAAAAACGCTATTATCAGTATTTGTCAAGGTACTGTATGGAAGTTCGAAATTCCCATATTGTGACAACAGTACTAAACTCTGAATAAAATACATTTTACGCACCCAGTGACTTTGTCCCCGTTGTTTGTCATTGGATTCACCTACGATCTCCTCCCATACAGCCGCAGTGCGGTCAAAGGAACAAGACGCCAACACCTGACCAAACTCAGGATGCGCCCATGTCACCCTCCACACGGATCCACTGTGAGTCTACAGACAGAGAGACAGACACAACTCAGAAAGAATACAGCCCTAAAACACATCCATCAAAAATGTCCTCCATTAAGATAAAACTAATTACATTTCGTTTCATTTTTATTTATTAAAAGGGTAACTCTTTATAATAACTTTCATTTATAAATCATGAACAAACATTATATAATGCTTAACAGATCATTAGTTAATATATATTCACATAGCTAGAAATATGAGATAATGTTCTTGTTAATGTTTACTGATGAACTTACTAAACATCACCTAATGATTAACATATGATTATTTCATGTAAACTCAAATGCTTACAAATGTCAGTAAACTTTCAGTTCATATGATCTTCATTTGTTGGTCTTTGTTTGTTGTGTAGACCTCTATTTATATCTCTATTTTAATCTATTAGTTATTTGTTCGTGTTTTCGCAGTACCCAATCTAATGTGGAAACTGTTCATCATTTGCAAATGTTTATAAATGATTACTAATCATTTAGTATCTTTATGGGCATTGGACTTTTAATGTAACAAGGTTTGTGTAAAGGGTGGGTGGTTATGTTTAGCTAAATGCTTGCTGAAGACATAAGAGATTGTAATTTTGGTGCAAAAACATTTTTTATTGGCTCAACACTCACATTAGTATACTACTCTTCAATATATCATTAAACTGGATATTCCTTGAATCATAAATAAACAGGGGAAAACAAATCATTTTTTAAAGAAAATACTTGTTCATTTAACAAAACAATATAAAATAAACAGATTGAACTGTGTTCCCTTATAATAATCAAACTGACCTCTGTACACTGTTGACCCTTTAACCAACCTTTAAACCTACCCATGCCACCAAACCCGTCACCACCTGCATTTGGTGGTTATCAGTGTATTACAAAGGTACAAAACAGATGTCAGTACTTCAATAGGTTGGTATATTAACATTATATCAGTTAATGAAATTACGGTATTTAACTGTAAATTTAAGTAAAAACCTAAAATGTTGCTACCGTATTTTTTACGGTAAAATTACGGCAACCACAGCTGCCGTTTTTTTACGGATTTTTTTTTTTACAGTATAACCTTACTGTATCAATAGCAGCAGAAGTGTTGTGCGTTAACACAAGCTTTTAATCATTTGATAACATCTGTTGAAATCATTTGTAGATTTTCAACAAGTACTTGATTATATGGAATTGAAAGTTTAATGACATTTGTAAGCATTTTAACTTACATAAAATAATGATTTGTTTGAACAATCTAATGTTTATTAAGCAAACATTAACAAGCACATTATCTCACGTTTCTAACTCTTTGAATATACAACTAATGATCCATTAAGCATTATATAATGTGTTAATTATTTATTAATGAAACTTATTATAAAGTGTTACCATTAAAAGTTATTTAAAAAATATTAATTTATTAAAAAATGATTTATTATTATAAAATTATATATACACGCAAATTCTAAACTACCAAAATTGCCCAAATGTAAATATGCACCTATTGTACCCGACATTTTGAATTTTAAAGCTATGCATTTTAGGGTTAGATGGAGATTTATAACTAAAGAACATAACAGAAATAACTCGTACCTTCCAGCTAGCAGTACAACGCCACTCTCCATCGTCCCCTTTGTCCCAGACCTAGTTTAGAAAAGAAAAAAAGCCAGAATGATTGTCATTAAAATAGGGAACAATCAGGCACACAAGCTTAAGAACCACAAGACACCAAGTATTAATTCTTCAAGACTCAAAACACTATAATAGCTGAATTAAACTGCAGCTGGAAGAGATTCACAAACTGATGCACAGCAAGGCCTTTCTAAAAAGGTCTCTGCCCATTTAAACCTCAGGTCGTGTCTCAAAACTTTCTGAACCGCCCTCACAGATGGTAATTGGGTGTCAGAGGGTTCAGTGCTGTCTGGGTTTATGGTTTATGTGATTACACAGACAGGGATCTCTTGCCTTGACGCTCTGATCACTGGAGCAGGTCGCCATCCTCCGACCGTGAAAGTCATAAGAAACATCGTGAATCAGATCTTTATGATCCGCTGCGATGCTCTTCGCCACGAACATCTTGCAGTAAAACTACTTCTTGACGCCGGCGAGAAAATATCTCACACAGCTCAGTTAATGAAACAGCGGAGAGACGTTCAGTCAAACTTCAACAGAAATGCTACACTCCATCGCCGCCATGTTTCTTTTCTGAAACCGTTGCTCGCTGCTTCTGTGTTTATTTAATGGCGGTGCAAACCAGCTTTAGGAGCAGATTCCGCCACCTCCTGGGATGGAGTGTGAGGCATTGATAACAGGAAGAAGAAAAAACTATCTTCCTGTATTGTTTTGCATAACTTTGTGCTGAATGAACATCAAATTACTACAAAAAAAAACGATTAAATCTTACCAGATTTAACTAAACAAGCATGTATGTTTAGATATATTATGTATGTTAATCTTGAATCTTAAATCTAAATCTATTTTTCCTGACATTTTCCATTTTCTTTCAAATCCATTAGAGCCCCTTATAAAATAAAGAAATAAACTCTATACCCCATTCATTTGAAATATACACAGACTTGTATATCATAAAAATTGAGGTGTATAATTGATCAAACAAGTCCATCTGTCACATTTTTCCACAATTAACTGCAACATTTCTCTTCCTTGAAAACCATTAGTCTATAATGTAAATAGTCTACATAAAATGCATGAAAAGTTCGAGGTGTTTGTGTGTTTAAGTTCAATATAGTGCAGCATTATGCTCACTTCATCTGTATTTCTTTAGGAGACTTCTATCTAGTGGACCTTAGTATTATGAACGATAGGGCAAGTTTAATTCACTTCACAGACACACCTGTTTTGCTCACGCCTCTCACACAGAACCAGGAAATTACATCAACTCTCCACTTCAAGGAAAATGAAACTTAAGTGCTGTTCAACTGTGTTGTGTCTCCGTGTGTGCATGCAGTGAAATGGCTGAAGCCACGTTTTCTCAGGATAAATTCAGCTGTCCAGTGTGTCTGGATTTGCTGAAGGATCCAGTGACTATTCCCTGTGGACACAGTTACTGTAAGAGCTGCATTACAAACTGCTGGGATCAAGAGGATCAGAAGAGAGTCTACAGCTGCCCTCAGTGCCGACAGACCTTCAGTCCAAGACCTGCTTTAAATAAAAGCACCATGCTGGCTGAAGTGGTGGAGCAACTGAAGAAGACTGAACTCCAAACTGCTGTTCCTGCAGGACCTGGAGATGTGGAGTGCGACATTTGTACTGGAAGAAAACACAAAGCCATCAAGTCCTGTCTGGTGTGTCTGAACTCTTTCTGTCAAAATCACCTTCAACAACATGAGAATCTCTTCAAAGGAAAGAGACACAATCTAATGGATGCCACTGGACAACTTCAGGAGATGATCTGCTGTAAACATGAGAAACTACTGGAAATTTACTGCCGTACTGACCAGAGTTGTATATGTGTGCTCTGTATGGTGGATGAACACAAAAATCATGAGACTGTATCAACTGCAGCAGAGAGAACAGAGAAGCAGGTACAGACTGAGAGACGCTAAGATTATCCAGTTCTCTGAAATTAAAACACAAAGGCAGGAGTCACTCAGAAACATTTTGTACTTTCAGTTTTACTAATTTTTCTGTGATGTGCTGTTGTTTTGTCCAATACAGAGACAATTAGATGAGACACGGAGAGAATTCCAGCAGCAAATCCAGGAGCGAGAGAAGAAGCTTCAGGAGCTGAAAGAGGCTGTGGAGACTCACAAGGTGAGTTTTGAGGAGAAGCAGCATCGCTGGTTTAGTTAAGACTGTTCTTCAGTTGGTTATTGAGGGTGATTTTCAGTCAGACTGAAGCACAGCAGATTCTGTGAGCAGCTGATTGTAATGTGTGTCCTACAGCGCTCTGCACAGACAGCAGTGGAGAGCAGTGAAAGGATCTTTACTGAACTCATCAGCTCCATTGAGAGAAGACGCTCTGAGGTCACACAGATGATCAGAGTTCGAGAAAAGACTGCCGTGAGTCGAGCTGAAGGACTCATGGAGCGACTGGAGCAGGAGATTGATGATCTGAGGAAGAGAAACGCTGAGCTGGAGCAGCTTTCAGACACACGTGATCACATCCATTTCCTTCAGGTAGCACCAGGGCTCAATTTGAGGGGGGATGCGGGGGGATGGCGTCCCCATTGTTGAAAAAAAAAAGACAAAAAGCATCCCCTCTGTAAAACCATCATCCCCCCTTACCATGTCCTTTAGATTAATTATGTTGTGTATTATGTAAAACTTATCATGCAAATGAAATATTACAATTCTCTACGTATAATAATTTAACGTCCCTTAAAAACAGCAAAGTGCAGTGCCCTTAACACACACTAAATTGTGTCGTCTGTTATAGAGACTACTAAACAGACATTTAAAAGTTTTAAAATGCAAAGTATTAAAAATCAAAGTAAAGCTCTGTAAGCACTTGCAGTTTTAATGAACAGTTCTACACACACTTGTGGTTTTCACGCCCACTTGAACACTTGGGCCAAATACAGGAAATACGTCTTGTAAGTAGACAAGTGGTCAAGTACAAAGACCCCAAGTGAGGGACTTGCTGCCACCTACTGGTGGTTTTAATGTCATTTATTTATCCATGACAGGCCTGTACCAGCACAAAAACACAGTCGGCAAAATATTGTTTAGTTATCGTTATCAACAAAAATCACCAAAGATATTGAGATATCATTTTTGTCATTATCGCTCACCAGTAATGGCACAGTAATACCAATGTAATGAGGTCACAGGTATGTGTTTCTTGAGTAATTTAACTCAACCAAGCATAATCAAGGACCAGAACTATAGAGTTATTTTTATTGGAAAGAAATCTGTTGAAAATGATTAGACTATAAACATTTCAATGCCCTCAGAAGGCATTATTTAGGTTGTTTGGCAACCTACATTGTGAGGACCAAATGCCCCCACAAAGACAGTAAAACTTTCAATTTTTGACATTGTGGGGCCATTTCGTAAGGCCCCACAAGGAAAACAGCTTATAAATAATAGTTCCTTAAATAAAGATTTGTAAAAAAAAAAAAAAAAAAAAATTACGTGTTTAAAAATTAGACAAATTTTGTATTCATTGTGTAAAGTTAGCTACAGGACCCCCCGCACCAAACAAAGAAATACTTGACCACCATCCCCTATGAAATTTTCTTACAATTCAACCACTGGGTAGCACCATGACCTGTAGTCATTTCATTACAGAGAGCTTACTTATTTTAGTAAACAGTGTTTAATTTCTTCTATGCCAAATTTATTCTCTGGTTGTTTGTCTTTGTGTCTGTGTAGAGTTTTCCATCTCTCTCTGGCCCTCCTGGATCTCCAGATGTTCCCAGCATAACTTTCAGTTCCTATGATGATGTAGGACAATCAGTCTCTCAGCTGAGACAAAAACTGGAGGATTTTTGCAGACAGGAGATTGAAAAGATATCTGGTAAAGGTAAACTTTTAAAGGGGGGGGGGTAATGCTATTTCATGCATTCTGAGTTATTTACACTGTTAAATAGTTGGTTTATCATGCTAAACATGAGAACAAACAAAAAACAAGTTGGTATGATGGAGTATTTCGGTGCCAAATACACTCCGTCAGGGTTCGTATTGTTACGGAGTGAACAGACTGAGAGACGTACGGATCCATTTGCAGGCATTTAATTAAACAAAGGCTTGGTCATTAACAGGCACGGGTCAAAATACAGCAGACAGATATGAGCTGGGCAAGACAAGAGAATGTTCCAAAGATGGGCGAGAGTCAGCACAGCGGCGAACAGTATCCAGAGGGCTAGGCGAGAGAATAATCCAAACACTGGCTAGAGTCCAGGCGAGGGGCAAACAATATCCAGAACTGCACGACAAGAGGGTAATCCAAATACGGGCGCTGATCGAGACACAGGAAGGCAAAACAATGACAGAACTAGGCTAGACTAGGAAACAGGTAATCAAGAGACAGGCTCCGTAAAGTAGCTATCAATGAACGTAGCGATATGTGTTAACAATACTCGGCGTGAGGAAGAGGAAGTCCATGGCTTATGTAGGGTGTTTGATTGGTTGCAGCTGTGTGTGTAATCAGTGCAATGGATGATGGGAAATGTAGTCCGGTGTGAAGTGCAATAGTAGTGTGGTGCAAGAGTCCATCGTAATGAGCGGGTGATCTCTGGTGGTGAGCAACCAAGGGCAGGCACAGGATTCGTGACACGTATGTTTCTGAAAGGTTTTTTTTTTTTTTGAGCATGGCCCTGTATGATGTCATAAAGGGCAGAATTCCTTGTAGGTTCACTTCTCCCAGTACAGCGTGTGCACACATCAACCAGAGCAAGAGCAGCCCGTCAACGTGTTAATTTATTAGCCATAGTTAAATTAAGTCACTAAAGTTATTGTCCCCTGTTTTATTTGTCGATGTCACAGCTTGCAGATGATCGCTATGCAAAAGCTGCGCGTGCTCGTGACTCTTTAGCTCCACCCACGGCACGACTCCAGGAGCTTGACTGGTTTCGTAGAGAAGCGGCACATCTGTATCTTTTATAAATCTGATAAAACTAAAGACTCTTCGGAGATATGAAGGATGCAATAGTACTCTATAGTTACTCAAGATTAACATGAGATTGGCAGAAACTGTGTGTGTGTGTTATGTCTCCTTTAATATAATAAAACATGCTGTATCTAGAGAATGGGAGATGAGACTCTGATACGGCCCAGAGACACGCAGAACATGCAGGATTCATATTTAAATTGTATTTTTGTTGCTTAATATTTACAGATACTAGTCCGTATCGCGATTTGATTTAAGTGTAATGACCTACTTTTGATTAATTCACCCAAACTTTGACAAAGTTCTGCGTTAAACAGTAAATTCCATTTTTATGACTGGATTCCGCGATTCCGTCCGTGTTTTCCGCATCGCGGAAATCATAGGGCCCTAAGAGTGCTTAAATTATTGCTGATTACTGAATTCATTTCAATTGCAGCAGAGAGGCCTGAGACAGAAAATGCAGGATTTGATTTGAAACAGAAAATGAAGGATTTCCACAGAGCACAGACAAATCAAAGAGGTAGAGACTGGAGACCTTCTTTTTTTTTTTTTTTTTATCAAAGTAATAACATGTTGTGTTGCAATAATGAGTACATCTTCTGGAAAGTTGCAAAATACAAATAAAAATTCGGCTCCAAGTTAAAGGAAGTTTAACCGTGCATTTGCTGAACAAAATAGGAGTTGTTGTGATGTCTTTTAGACATCAGAGGTGCATATCAGTTTCATTCCCAACACACAATACACAGTTTCTTTCTTGTTCTTTAAGTACTAGCATATTACACGTTTGTAATATGTAATATATGTATGTAATATAGGATGTACTATGTAATATAACTATGTAATATGGGGTGTACTCATTTTTGCAAACATTTTTTTAAGCAACACTTCTTAATGTATTTTTTTTTTAAACGAATTTTTCTGTTTTTATGAAGTTTATGTTTAATGTGTTTTATAATGTTTAATAACTCATCATGGAATTACTATAAAGTCACTATGCTGTGCTACTGTGTAGTGTTGCGTTTATAATTTTGTTCAGTGTATATATTATATATAACTGCATATCATTTTATAATATAATTATTTATATAATTGAAGCAGGGGAGAGAGAGATCCGGCAATCAAGGCTTCTAATGAGACTGAAAGAGTTGGAGGTCACCAGAGAACAGGTATGTAAAGTACTGGAGACTAATGTACTCTGGAAAATAAATTAACACACCATGAAATATTCTGTAAAAATTCAATGCTTTAAAATGTTTATTGAATTTATTGCAGCTTAGAGTACTGAGTCTGCAACAAGAAGATTTTAAGAGAAAAAATATGTCAGAGGTACAGTACTGGAGGCTCATTTACTCTTCAGATAAATTGACACACCATGAAAAATGACATAAAATACAGTGCTTTAATAATTGTTGTTAAATTTATATATTCAGTTAATTTACACAGAATATGTCTGTTGGTTTCCACAGTGAGATGCACTCAAATCACCCCAGAATATGACAGCAGGAAAGAGTGTTGGGCTGAAAGGAAAACAAATACAGGCACCATATGCATTTTTACATATATGTCTCATTAGCACCAAATTTTACTTTTGAAAAAAGTGCAAAATGCATGTGGTTTGAAAGCCAGATCAGCTTACATTTACTCTAACTTTTTTTTTTTAATCCAAGTCTTACTTCAGTTGTCACATATGGGTGCTATACTAACTGCATGAAGACTAGGAATTCACAGAAACAGGCTTTAATATGATAATCCACAGAATACAGGTTTGAATAAGAGGGGTCACATCCACAAAGTACATACGACACCAGACCAAGAACAGAACCAAACGGAGAATAAATACACAGGAACCAATGAGATAATTAACAGGACAGGTGAATGGAAACAATAATCAGACACACTGAAAAAAATGAGTGACAAGCACAGGGAGAACAGAACCAAAACACATTGAACAAAACATACCCCTGTCATGACATCAGTGTGTACACAGCCATTTCTGGTAAATATGAAAATAGCTTGTTGTATTTTATATTGCTTTATAGTAAAACTGGCCACGCCTACTACTTTTATTTTGACTTGGTGTGGGCATGCTGAATTTAACATCCATGTTTTGATAATTATTAATAATGGGATAATGTGAACAGGCGAAGATGATTTTGGGAAAAATATCCAGTGTTGCAGATTTTTTAGAGGGAAATGAAATCATAGATATACATTTTGTTTTTGGACTGAGACAAGCTTTCCAATGGCATAAAGACTTGAGTCTCTGATATCCATTACAGGAGTAATGCCAAACGTGATTTTTTTGTTTGTTTGTTTACTCAAGGGCCCTGATTGGCTGATCATTTGTGTTTGAAGCTTGAATAAATCACTGAAGTGATGTTTAACTAAATTAAAGTCACTTGCATGGTGTAATTTAATCATGGATATGCTAGCGTAACTAAGTACCGTAATTAGTTACTTTTTTATGGAGTAACGCAATATTGTAATGCATTAAGTAAGTAACTTTCCCCAACACTGCTAGCCACAACATATCAGTAAATCAGTAAAATAAGAAGAAATCCATTAAAAGTATTGTATTATTTAATTTTACATATATTTATTGCCAAATTAGCCTTGCGATGGACTGGCCATCTATCCAGGGTATTTCCCTGCCTTGGGCCCAAGACGCTGGAATTGGCGCCAATAACCCTTCAACCCTACATAATACAGGCGGTTTAGAAATAGGATGGATGGATGTACGTGTGGATGTTGTAAATTTGCAAAAAGTTAAGCCCTGTGTGTTTGGATTCATTTTGAGAAAATATATGTTGTTATAGGATTTATGTCAGTAAAGTCATTTTTTGAAAAGCATTTAGCTTGAGTGTAGAGTCATCCAAGAGCAGAAAGAGCAAGGGGTTGTGTGGTGATGAGAAAAGACAGCAGTGCGTCAAACTGAAGGATTTGTAGCGATTGACCAAATGCACGGAGCGTTCTTTAGAACTTCTGCATTAAGATAAGCCAGCTCGTAAACTTCCGGTAAAGCTAATTTGAAGTGTTGTGTGGTGTGTCTCAGAGACCCTCACAGAAACCTCTCCTGCCTCGTTCTGTTCAGAAACTGAGAAACAAAATAATTGCAACACTGTAAATAATGAGAGCGGCATTCGCATACAGTTTCATGTTATTTAATTAATTTATTGTTTCTTTTTCTATTCTATCTACTTGTTTTCTTAATATTTATAATAAAAAAAAATAATAAAAAAAATCTTGCTATGTGTACTGCGTTATACTAACTGGGACTCGTCACAGCACTTACATATTATTGCTCTTTTGTTGGTTGGTTTGCTTCTATTTTCCTCATTTGTAAGTCGCTTTGGATAAAAGTGTCTGCTAAATGTTATTTTCTTTTAAGTTACATTTAGGGGCTCTCTATGCCTTTCATTATTGAGACAGGACAGCATAGAGATGACAGGAAAACATTGGGGGTGGAGAAAGGGGAGTGGGAATCGAACTTGGGTCGCCATGAGCACAGTTGCACTGTATGTCGGCGCACTAACTACAAGGCTGTTGGCACTGAAATGTTAATGCTATTTATATGCCAAGCCTAATCCCAGGAGAGTACCTAGACATGTGAAAGTGAAAGTGAAAGTGAAGTGAAAGTGTACATTTAAATGATGACAACTAAACACTATTGTAACTGTTTTAAGCTATTTGAATCTAACTAGCTAGCGATGCTATATTGTAAACAACATCATAATGGTATTCTTAATAATCATCAATAGCTGACCTTCATAGTCAGGAAGTCTGCTTACAGACAGGAGGTTAAAGAGCTGGCTGTCTGGTGCAGTTATAACAACCTGGAGCTCAACACGCTCAAAACAGTGGAGATGATCGTGGACTGGAGGTACATGAACAGCACACAACAGTGTACCACCATCTCTCAGGACCTGAAGTGGGAGTTCCACATCAGGGCCAGATTATCCAATGGGCATTATGGGCACAGGCCCGGGGGCCCATGTGCACTTGGGGCCCAAGTGAGGGGAATTTTTTTACACTAAATGCAAATAGCATGCTATTTATTTATGGACATTCGCGATTAAAAAAGATGCATTCGATTCATCATCTTCAGTAATATGTAGTAGAGAGTAAGACTGGCTTTTGACATGATCGACCAGAATCCGCCTTTTGCTGAGCTATATATAATGACTTACACTCTATGGGCCTCATTCATGAAACACGAGCAGAACAAATATTTGTGTAAATCATTCGTAAAGCCATTCTGACGTAAACTTTCAAATCCATGAATATGTTTGTATTTTCAAATTGTTAGCTGGTACGAAAGAAATGTACACCTGCTTCCTACCACGTGTAAATGGTGTGTAAAATGTTTGGCAAACTGATGACACTGAATTTATTTATTTATTAATGTATTTATTTATTTATTTTATTTATCTGTATCAACATCAGCTCACTCATACAAACACAATCCGACTGTCAGACAATATGACAAGCAATGTATCAATAATATCGATATACAGGCAAGGATAATGTAAGCATACAGAAAAGTAACAGTAGTTTAACCTTGATCATTCAATCAGTACTAAACCAAACAACCCATATACATAACATAAAAATCTCAAACTGGTAGAGCAGAAAAGATAAGATGGCAGTAAAATTAATGCTGGCAGTGCTGACTCTATTTAAACAACCTCTTTAAGTGAAACTTAAAAGCGGCACAAGTATTAAAAGTTGTAATGTAAGTTGGGATGGAGTTCCACTCACGAGCAGCCCTAGGTCGTGCCCAGACGCAATGCTTTGAATTTGCGTGTAGCTAATGACATCGCATCTGGAGATGGCTACTAAAAAAGCTACAAAAATAAAAGCAAAGAAGTTTGTATTTAAAGTCAAAATGTAAGAGCCAGAGGATGCTCAGACATTGGCACTTATTTAGGTCCTTGGTCAGCCTACTGTCATGACCAAATAAGGAATTTAGGAGTTGTGTTCGATCCAGATTTGAAATTTGACAAGCAGGTTAATACTGTGGTTAAGAGCTGTTTTTTCTAGATTAGGTCTCTTGCTTGATTAAAACCTATTTTGTCGATGAAAGATTTAGAAAAGGTTATTAATGCCTTTATATTGTCTCGTCTGGACTATTGTAATGTTTTGTATGTGGGGTCCTGTCAGACCATTATTTCACGCTTACAACTAGTTCAGAATGCAGCAGCTAGGCTGCTTGTGAGTGCTAAGAAAAGTCAACACATCTCTCCTATCTTGGCCTCACTCAGATGGCTACCAGTGGGTTTCAGGATAAAATATAAGGTTCTGTTGTATGTGTTCAAGGCAGTGCATGGAATGGCTCCTGCTTATGTGTCTGAGCTGATTACTTTCCGACAGTCATCTAGGTCTTTAAGATCAACAAATAAGTTGTTTCTTACTGTCCCACGAACTCATTTAAAGCTGAAAGGGGATCAGGCCTTTGCTGTTGCAGGTCCAGAGCTTTGGAATAGCCTACCAGCTGAGATTAGAGAGATTACATCCATAAATGTTTTCAAAGCTGGGGTTAAAAATAATTTCTTGTCATTAGCTTTTAAGGAGTTGAGCTAGTATCTGTGTTTTTATTTTGATTGTTTGTGTTTTATGTATTGTATGTACCTGTATGTTGATTGTACAGCACTTTGGTCTGCAGGTGCAGTTGCAAAGTGCTTTATAAATAAAAGGAATGAATGAATGAATAATACCGGTCAAAAGTTTGGACACATTACTATTTTTAATGTTTTCGCTCATCTAGCCTGCATTTATTTAATCAAAAATACAGAAGAAAAAAAACAGTAATATTCAGCAAGGATGTCAGCAAGGAAATGTATCAATTTTAAATTGATAAAAAGTGATAGTAAAGCCTGCAGGGTGATGGAGCGGCGTCCGCTCGAAGGTGCACCGCGACCAGTCAGCAGACCATATAATAAAAAAAGAATTTAAATAAAGTATGTGATATGACTAGTAATGAAATTGAAAAATAAATCAATAAAGAAAGAAAGAAAATTACCCTTACATTTTTCTGCGAGAGAAAGTCTTTCTCTTGCAAGCATCACCATTCTTCGAATGAGAGGTTTAAGTTGAAAGAAGAAATCTTTCTTTGAGATCATCTGTATTTTTCTCTCTCTCACACACACACACGCACACACCTAATAATGAAATTGAAAATAAATCAATAAATAAAAGAAATTGATAAAAAAAAAAATCCTCTTACATGTTCCTGTTCTCATTTAGTTAATTATCAGAACACAAATTTGTATAATTACATGGGTATTACACTGATATTACAATGTAAATGTGGTTTATGATGAAATTCAGTTCATAATTCAGATCACTTTAAACAATATTTAATTAAAAATGTAAACATATGCAGAATTTTTTTGTGTGATGGTATGTGTACAGTGTGTACAGTAAAAAAAAAAAAATCATTATGTCTATGGAGTGTTCCTGCAAACCAGATGTATAGTAATACTCCAAATGAATATTGACCTGTGCGAAATTTGTCCATGATCATAACAACTTTTTAAATTATAAATTATACTAAATGATGTTTCTGAAAATATAAAAAATGTAGAAAGTTTACTGTGATGGTAGGTTTAGGGTATGATACTGTATAAAATGAATTAATATAATATAAATATAAATTTGATGTAGAAACTTTAATTTTCTGTGAAACTGCTTTGCAACAATTTGTTTTGTGAAAAGCTATACAAATAAACATGAATTGAATTGAATTGAATTGAATTGTCTAAGTAAAGTCTCCATAAACATGACAATGACATGTCGGGGCCCCCAATAGTCCTTATCGTTTGGCCTGTTAAAATTTTTTTTTTTTCCGATCCTGAAACATGACAATGACATGTCGGGGCCCCCAATAGTCCTTATCGTTTGGCCTGTTAAAATTTTTTTTTTTTCCCGATCCTGGTAAAATGTACAACGTTTTTATATTTTTAGCGATGAGTAAAACTAGTGTAAATGAGAAAATTACTTATAAATCACACCAATTATTTATTTATTTTGTAAGATGTAAAGTTTTCTGCGATGGGTTAGTGTTAGGTTGTAAAATGTATAATTATCTGTAGATAAAAAAACAATAGAAGTCTGTGTAATGTTCCCATTTAGATAGCTAAGCAAATGTGTGTGTGTGTGTGTGTGTGTGTGTGTGTGTGAGAGAAAGAGAGAGAGGATCTTTTCCAACTTAAACTAACATCTCATTCGAGGTACGGTTGATATAGTGTAAAGATCTACCTCTTAGCACTTATGTAAGACCATTTTTAATTAAGCTAATTTTTTTATTGATTTAATTCATTATTAG